AAATGATTAGGTTTTGGTTTAATTTAAGAGTTTGATCCTATTTTTCTCACCTATTTTTTGCTTTGCATTGGTCATGTGGGCACAAATTTCACTCCTTACTGCGTAAGAATTGCAATCTGACGAAGCTCTGATCACTTTATGAGAGAATTTAAATGTGAATACTCACGGCAAACATTATTTGAAGCCTTGAGCGTGTTTCTGGGAGATATTTATATGATCTTTTCATCAAAAATATTTCACGAAAGGTGGGCAGAATATTACTGATGCTGTGCGATGCATGGTTTCTTCACGTATTTAACAATTTGTTTTGTTTGATTATTTAATGTGTTTTGCGAGAAAAGGAAACTTAGGCGAAGAGTTAATTATTTGTCTAAAGCTTTCCTTTGACAGGAAAACTAAAAGGCTGCTAGATAATTCAATTTGGACGCCGAATTCAAACAGACCGACGCATTACCTGTAGAAGAGAAGGTGTGAAGACTTTGAATAGAGCTTCATTCTCTATTCATTTTTCTGTTGAGCAGCAAGAAAGCTTACGGAATTTGTTTTGGACTTGTTTTGTTGTTAAACCGGTGCTATTGTTTCGCTCCGGTCCAAAATTTTGGAATCTTTGATAAAATAATTGTTGTGGGATGTTAAGGTATAAAAACAGTTTCATTAACAGTGTCGTCCATTTTTATCCCAACAACCAAAAACGTCCGTTTTTGCTCACAGAAAACAGTTATAATCACCGTTAGTCGCAAGTCTAAAACGAGGATTTTTCAGCATTGCTTTCTATCCTTGCGAAAAACAAATCGGCCTTTACAGAAAATGGTACACAAGTTTCCCCAGGGACTTGCCAGTTTTGTGTTTGCTGAACAAAAAGAAGTGATTGCGATTGGAAAGCAGTTTGTTGCCTTAAGCAACGCGTAATTACTACCAGAGATCGAACGTATCTAAAAAGAGTACATAATTTTGGTTGAATAATAAGAACGTGCCAAGATTGTAGTAGAATTTTAAATAGGAATATTTTTTTCCGCGCGCTGGGATAAAAATAGTAGAAACCGTAGTTCAGTAGCTTTTAGTACGTAGTCAACCGCGCTGTCAAACAGAGCTAGAATAGGTTTTCAGCCGACATAAAGTCGTACATGTAGTTTTCCCAGCCTAATGAAATCCAAAAGATGTGATATTTTTTATCCAAAGTGTTACTGAACACGCGCTCCAGTGTACGATATTCTAGATAATTTTTCCTTTACATTATATTGTCACGAATCGACTTTAAGATATATTATTAAGATGTATATTCTTAGCGTTAAGAATTATTTCTTCCTAAAATAGTGCAAGTCATAATATTTTGTTTAAGATACGATAGAAAACTACAAGACGATTTTCTTGGTGATGCGAGTCATCCTCCATTTCAGTTAAGCAACTGTTAAATTAAATTGTTCCGTGAAACGGCGCTTAACACGTGCCACAATGAATACTAGTTTTTCACTGTATTTTTCACCTGAGGAAATTTTTCGATTAACAAATTCATTACTTAGCAATATGATATATAAAATTGTGTGAAGTTAATATTTATAGTAATATATTATGCAGTTCTCGTTTTCTCAACAATCAAGTCTCCAATATACTTTATAACATCGATAAACTTGGAAAAAATAAGATAAGTATTTCACGTTCCCGTTTAATAACGCAGGGAGTTATCCTTTATCGGAAAGTTCAGTTATGAACTACAGAAATTCTTGGAATGAATTTTTTCCTTTTTCCACTTCACAGTGAAGAGCGGTTTCTAAAAATCAGCTAACGAACATTTTTTTCCATATCGTGATTTCGAAAAGAATTTGAAAAAAATTAGTCAAGGTAGTTTGCAAGTGTGATCATCTAGTGAATACAGCATTCAAGTGAACCCGTTCAGAAATTAAAGTAGATCCATGTTTTGAATCCTAAAAGCAATAGGTTTAATCATAGTTCAGGTTTGATGAGGTTGATGATTTACCACTAAATCAAGGATTGAGTGTATTATTAATATATTGTGGCAAAGCAGTTGTTGCTAATCTAATGATGTCTTGCAACTCATGAAATCAAAGTTAAGAACATATATTTATTGGGCTTAGATGTCCCACAATTTTACCAACTGACTTTTTCTTCAAGTTTATTATTTGTAAAATTTCGTTCACTTTTCTTTTAAAATCCACGTCTTCCACTGACTGTCAAATTTAAGTTGTTAGATTTGTTGATAAAAATGTTGAACTTTGATTTGATGGGTTGCAAAACTTAAATGATAATGTATCATTGCAGTACTGTTCAAAACAAGGACAGAGAAATGTTATGCTAATACTGAGGATTTGTTTCCAACTAATTTATTGAAGAATAAATTAAAGCAATTTGGATTTTTAAACTCTTGGTCTTGTTTTCTTTTAGTTGATGTTTTATTTCGTGCAAATTTTTTCAGTTCAGGGATCAAAACTTGAGTTGCATCTTCTGCCTGTAGTTTAACCTACAAAGGGCTCCTGTCATGGGATAAAGCAAGTTCTCCCTCTGTGTTTAATCAACACACTCCCAACAAAACTGGGCCATTATATATTAAGTAGTTTCCCTGTAATTCAAGTTTGTAGCAAAAAACCCCCTTAAAAAACTGTGAGAATAAGATTCCAACACGTGAACTTTCAACCACTTGAAAGCAAAGGCTTCTTGGAAGTTTTTGATTGTGGTAAAAAATTCTGTCCTCCCTTAAAAAATGGGCACTTGGAGTAAGCTTCAGTCATCTCCTTGACTTGTTCATTCTGGGCTGAAGGGCTGAAACCTTCATAAAATCTCCAAGGAGTTTGTAACTTAAAGAGAGGGCTGAAATTTAGCATAGCATACTGCTTGTATTCTATGTTTAGAGACGAACGCAAGAAGGCTCTTTATCTGGGATATTGTAAGAGGTCATGGGTGATTGAGTTGTGAGAGATAAGCAAAGGATTGGGGAGATAAGTACCTATCTCTCATAGCTCGCTTACTGCCCAGACAGAGAGCTTGCTTGCAGTCTGTTGGGAGCTAATCATTTACATTGTACCAATAAGGACAAAAATCAAGTGATGATACGGGAATCTTTATTGTTCTCCAAGTTAAGTGGGGTTAAGTGTCGACTTATTACTTATAAAAGGATGGGCATTTTTGCTGATGCAAAGTGACAAGGGTTTGTTGTGTGGGGCAGCAGCAATCATCTAAAACATTTCGTAAGTTCTGGGGGATTATTCCTTTCAGTAAAGTGGTACTCTCACTCTTGACAAAGCCTGCTAGTAGGCTCTCATATATTATTGTTGTGAGTGGAGCATCATTCTCCTTTCACAAGAGGCTCTTGCCTGTCCACTTGCAACTCTCCCAAATGGAGAGCTAACTCGCAGGGTAATCTTGACATTACAGGGGCTCAACTCTAAACAGGTCAAATGGGTTAAGGTGCTTTATGACAGCTATGCTACATGTATGTATCTGGACCATCTGTAGTGGCATAAACTAAACCTAGATTGGAATACAGTGGAACCTCTCTTATTCAAGGGACACAAAATTTGGTCTCGGAAAAAAGTTTATACAATCTTTGTATTTGTTACCTTTATTGAAGGAACACCTCTATCCAGGGGGAAAGGGACATTTTTTCTGGAGATCGCAGAGATAAGTAAATCATGATTTTCATATATTATCTAGCTGTTTGAAATAATGGCTGCAGCAGATTCCGAGGTAAAATAAGATGAAAATATTTCGTTTGTTGGTTAATTATTAATAGACCCCAGCCCAACCTCCATTCAAGGGACACTTGCCTTGGTCCTGAGGGTGTCCCCTGAATATAGGTTCCACTGTAACCCCTCCAACCATTATTCCTATACTTTCTTGTAGAGTTCAAAGTGTGATACAAGATGACTGAGAATACTTATCCAAATACAAACTCAGCTGTGACTATTAAAAAAAAAAAAAAATTGGACACTGTCATGACATAGCCCCTTTTAACTATCTTATCATTGAGACTGTCTGTATACTTCTTGCCTGCCTTAGAGGGGCACAGACAGCCCTGATTGTACTCATTGTATCAAACTAACCACTGCCTTAAAACTGTGTAAGGCTTAATTCAAATTGAATGCCTATCAAAAACATAATAATGTTCATGTTGTATGAGACACTGAGAGTCATTCATTCACCCAAGGTCAGCTGTTCCTGGACCTCTGGGCCCATTTCTCGAAAGTCCTGGTAAGTTTCTGGACCTGACACCAAAAACTAGAAATCAAAATCTAAAGAAAGAAAGCGCAGTCCTAGGCAACAAACCAGTGCATTTTGTTCTGCTGTGTTATAGTTTATCACATCTGCAAAAGCGAAACCTTGATTGTGAACGTAAAACATACAGCTTTCTGGATTCAGGAATTACTGTATCTTTAGAGAAACAGGTCTGTGGTATCTCTATCCTTCAAACTCTAATATTGGCTGATTCGCTCCACATCCTCAACACTTTCATTTTCATTTCCTGTGGTACTGATGAGACGGAAAAGTTGACAACCAGTTCTTCACTTTTTGATAATTTCCTTCTTTAACAACCTTGATGTTTTAATGAGCAGTATCATGATGAGAAAAACTCTCAGGTGGTGAGAGGGCAAACCTTTTACTCTTACAATGCCAAAACTATTTTGTATAAAGGCAGACACTAAACTGTTGTGATACTAAGGCACCGCAAAAGTTTCATTTGAATGATCCCCCCATGAAGTTTTCTCCACTGACTCAGAAGTTACACAATGGAAATTCTAAAGAGGGGAGGTCTTGCCTGAAATTCCTCGGTGGGGGGCTCATGGATTTTTCTGTAACCACACGATGTGTATCTTGACATAATTGACATATACTTATAGTCAGCAATAATTTTGTAGCATGACCAGAAATATTCCTCCTTTATGTCTCCTGATATTGCCCATTTCCGTTTGACCTCATAGAGTCGACTATCAATAACATGTCTGTGCTCATGCACTACTCAGTCAGCTTACTTGAGATTTACAACAAATTCATGTCTCCAAATTGGTGAAATTCGTCAACAGTGCTCTGTCAATGCGAGAGATCATACTTCTCAGCTGCTTTCCAGGTCCTATTTCAAACACTGTAATATCATTTCCACACTCCTTAGTGATGTTTTGAATAGTTTTCATCCAATCGACGGGTTCTACAAGCTGACGCAAAAGCAAGCTGAAACAGGAACAAAAAGCATGTCAGTGTGTGTGCTATACAGCGTATAATAATTAGGCTGATATAGGAACAGAACAAGAACGTCAGTTGAGGACGCGAAAGCACGCGGAAAGGACTAAACGCTACTTCCGGTTCCCAATTTGCCACTCTGCGATTGGTCAAGCCAGTTGTTTGATTTGTGCGCGCCGTCGTCAACTGACGTTCTCATTCTGTTGCTAAATCCACCTAATATGTCAGCTGTGACAGTAGTCAAATACTTACCACCTCTTCTCGCTTTATGTCACTATGGACGTTTGTGAGAGACGTTAACCTTTTGACCTTAAAAATTCCATACTGCTGACCTAAATCAACGTTTACATAATCTGGTTGTCATGGAAAACACAAATTTCTTCTGACGACTTTTGTAAGTACAGACACTGCGGGGGACATAGAAAGTCCCCATGTTAATTTTAAAAAGAGTAATACCAATCAGTGTTCCTGTCCAGATTATGGACTGTACATGAATCAGTATGGAACGTTTTGGTTCAAAACAAAGACGTCTCTAGATCTCTCACGAAATGTGATGAGCTGGAGGTGGCATTATTTGCTGGTTTGTCAAGTAGGGATATGGTGAATGGTAGAATCTGAGATGCTGAGACCTTCTTTGAAAATCAAAGACATATTTTTGAGGCAAAATTTTCAAACTCCAACAAATACAGACTGCTTACAACTGTCCTATCACAAACACTACATGTGCTCCTGATATTTGGGCCACTTCCCCTGTACAGTAATGTGGTTTACATACATCTCAGGAAGAAGAGCTCATCTTACAAACTAGCATGTTTAGTTAGTAAACTCTAATAATAATAAACAATGTTTGCCCACAACACTAAACTAAAATGCTATTTTCCACAACATTTGTGTCAACTATTTAAAGACTAATATTCATGGTGAGAAGGTAGGTACTAGCTTTTGCGAAGAAAAGGTATTAATATTGGATGTCTGTCTCATGGATCAAGTCCTGAACTCCATAACAACTGTTGCAGTATTTAACCAATGTAAATACCAGTAAATAGCATGTGAGAACTAAACAACTGCTGGAATTAAATTTTGTCTTAAATAGATACTGTACTATTAATCTAATAATCATAACTATACCAATGTTGACTATCAATTGTCCTGACTTCAGCACTATAGACAACTCTTGCCTTGCAACCACTCCGCTATAACAGACTGCCACCCCGATAATACGGACAGCAGCTACATCTCAGGCAAAAATATATTATAGATGTTTGACTGAAATAAACTCCCGCTATTACAGACTCTGGCTAATGAGGATTCTAACTCAAGGTCCGTACAGTAACCACTATAAAGGGACTTGACTGTAATAGGACAGTGTAATGGGACAGTACAAGTCGTGCCTAACGAAGAAATTGGACAGTACACACCATCTCATTCAAGCACTTAAATGGCTGCTGGTAAATCTCAGAATTTCTAGTGTTTTTAATTTAAAACAAAACCTAAAATGTCACAAATTTTGTTATATAGTTATACGATTAATAATATTATTGGTAACAGAACTTTGTGTCGTCCAATTTGTTTTGTAATCATACTTGTGATTCACTAGACAAATCAGACTCCCCAAACACAGTGGTCTGATTTTGTTAATTACCAGCATGATTACAGACTGAATTGCACTCAATTCAAATATCTCCCCCTCCTCTTTCAAGTGCCTGCTTACACCTTCACAAAAAGATCACCTTTTTTGAAGCACTTAAAATCTTTCACTACTAGCAGTTGCAGTATGTATGAAGATATTCAATTATTGATGTGACTCCTAAATTTTAATTTGTAAACACCCTAAAACCAGTGAATTTCATCCACAGAATCAAAAGTTAAAATGATAAACTTTTCCATCATTTCTATCTTGGGGTGAAAGAGAACTAACAGGTTAACAGTCATTTCAATAAGCACCGGCTGACGACCGACAAAATGCGTCGGCTACATTGCTCAGAGAAGTCGGCTACTTTTTCCTCCTCCGAAGAAGCAATTAGTTTGAATAATGTCATAGACAAAGCCAAACTTTGTTCACGCGGAAATGTATTTAAATTAGTATAATTATCATTTGTTCATTGCTTGCAGGAGTTAATTGTGTGGCTAAAAATCAAAATTTGACTAAAACCCAAATCTTCTTGAATGGAAAACTCGCTCTTTTATACTCAGTTTAGTCCCCTAAATGCTGGAAATCGCTTATCAGGGCTTTGCAATTTTCAAATTTTCTGAGGGAGCATGCCTCCAGACACCCCTTGAAAACGTGGACTGTTGATACAGTGAGTTACTCTATTCAAATTTGCTGGCTATTTCAATTTTTATTGAAACCCCCGGGGTTAAACCTTGTTTAAACTTCCAAGAATAAAAATTATCAATAGTGCAAATATTTGTAGTGATGGTTAACTGCTTTCACTTTCCATTCTTTCCTATAAACAATAGTTATGGTATTTCTAGAGATTACAATACTAAGTTATTTTTAGTTATAAAAATCTTTTGTGTTAATGAATCCCGGCTAAATCATTGAAACATGTACTTAGTTTTAAACGCAAAAAATTCTCATTTTAGGACATAGTATGTATTAGGGTTGCTCTACATGCAGCAAGAGCCAAATTCAAGGAAATGGTAGATGACTCTCTTTTCCCAGCAAAAATAACATTTATGTTAGGCTTTGATGTTATATGTGTGATATGTCTTTAACTAAGAAGTCCTTCAATTCAAATAAAATATGCTAAGTACAGCACATTCCCTTTTCTAAAACATTTTTCCTGTATCTTCTGCCTTCTTTTCATACCAAAAATTGTTTTATTATTATATTTTTCATTTTGCATTTATGGAAGGTGAAATTATGCATGTTTGAGGCCGTAACAAGTTAACTGTTCACTGACCCCTGACACAAACTACCATATTTGTTGACCAATCTCATTGATATTAGTATAACCATTAAGTTTTCTCTTGTTGCTTATATGTCATGGTATTGTCCACCTAAAACTTGTTGAATGCAAATTAAATGTCAACTGGAAAGCTTAAATACTTTAATTTATTCAATACTTTCTTGATGTACTGCTTTGCAGAAAACACTGCATCTCACTCTTAACTTCTCTAGACCAACATCAAAAAATAAAAAAAAGGAGAAACTAAAACAAAAATTGTGACTTGTGATACTAAATATCATTCTGTAATATTGAAGTACATGTTAAAACCGCAAATATTCAAAGGATTTGAATGTCATGACACCTAACAAATATTGCCCCACAAAATGCAAGAGACCAAGAGTGATCTTAAGAACTATTTAAGGCCATTAAAATAACTGGAAAGATTGAAGTGACTGTGATAAAAAGAGGGCTTCCTTCAGCAACAGTTATAAGACTGTTGAAGGAAAACTGCAGCAACAAATGATAAGGAAAAACAGAGATGCAAATAAGCAAAATGTGTTTCTTGCTGAAAAGGCTAATATTCCTTCTTTCTAACTGAAGACATGTTGGCTCATATTGTCACAATAAAAAACTCATTATCCCTATTAGGATCAACACACATTGCAAGCAAGGCTACAGCATACTTAAGCTGTATCATTTTATGGCTAATATCATTTAACACAACGGTCATTGATAACCACTCAAACTGGAATTTTTTAGTGGCCCCTTTCAATAGGAAACTATTGGCAAACCAGTATACATTTTGTGGTATTGTGACTGATACTATAAAAACTTGTGATTTTATAAAATAAAAATTCAAAACTTCTCTGAACAGAGGAAGTACAAAAATTTCATAGGATTTGTAGATATTAATTAAGTTTCATGAGTGATACCAATACCATAATCATTATTCTTTAAGCTATACAACAAGATAAAGCAATCATGCACTTGAATTCTCAAAGTATGGATGCTTTTGTTCAAGATGTTGATAGAGATGAAAATATAATATTATACATAAAATACATGACTGAATCAATCTTTTTTGGGTGAGACTCTTTCAAGGACAGAAAAATTTTATGGTACTTTGACTTTAAACTCCACTCAGTGGTTCTAATACCAGTGCACATTAAGCAACAACTCAACATGTTGTAAAGGAGAAAAGTGCATAAAGAGAATTGAAAAAAGCTTAATAAGAATAAATTAGTCAAGCTTATTGAGGTCTGACGAAAGGATGAACGAGAAAACGTCTATTATGGTGGCCAATTTATCTTAGTCTGTCCCTTACCTGATGTCAAATAAAAATATTATACGTTATAATGTACTGCAAAAGTGTTTAGAAATTCAAAATAATCTATATATCAAAAAATTTGCATGGCTAATTAATTTATATTAATTTGGCCATTTTGTTTAATCTGTTTTTGCTTATTATATTATATGACAACGTTATGGTATATAATTTTCTTGTACAAATAAATATTCATTCAAAAATGATATGATTACTTTGTTTATTCGTTGTCGAGCGGTTATCATTTTGATATCATTTAATGGTCTTCACAAGGAAATGATGACGGCGACAGATGATCTTAACCGCTGTCAAATGATTTGCAACAGTTAAGGTTTTAAATAAATTATATTGCCAACACACTGTCAGTTTTGCCTGGGCAGGAAGAGTTTCAATTGAAAGAAACTCTTCAATTTTAGAGCGTTAGTTACGTTAACTAACCATATTACACCTGTATCCTCTTCCATGTTTCCATTTTAATATTAACTGAAAACGCACTAAATAAGCAAAATATGCCTCACAACTTTTAAGCAATGCTTTCAGAATGGTTCATAATTTTGATGTAGGCTTCCTTACTATCATAAAATTTACTATTAATTTCATACTTCATCTTGAGGATTGTGGAATTGCAGCAATGTGCTTGTTTTAATAGTTCTTTGTTCTCAGATTGATGTAATAATAATAATATTAATAATAATAATAATAATAATAATAATAATAATAATAATAATAATAATAATAATAATAATAATAATAATGAAAATTATTATTATTATTATTGTCATTAAAGCAGAGCTTTTCTTAACCAACATTAATACTGTAAATGCTTTGTTTGTATTTGATGCTCTGTTAGGTTCTGACCAATGGTGCATTTGACTGGCTAATTTGCAACCAAACTGGGGAAAATAATGTCAAATGCATTGAGATTTGCCCCACAGACCAGGAGAAGAGGTTACTTTTGGAATTGACTAATACATTAATGTTACCTTTTAATGTGATCAGGAGTAGTAAATGGTTCACAGCTTGTTCCTGAGTACACTGTACATTTAGGAGATTGTACATCAATGGACTCCAGTGCCCTCCTTAGAGGATCCTGTGCAGATTCCATCAGTTTGGTGTGGAATGCTCCACTAACTGGGATGATCTGAGCTCTTTTGATACCATGCTATAACAGAAACAAATGGGGCTAAATATAATTATTTAGCAGTGTGCAAAGAAAGTAGTGTCCCATAGCCCGGGGCTAATGAATTTTTCTATGGGGCTAGTGAATTCTGTTTTTAACTTGCCCGACGGGCAGTGATGTTTTTTGAGGAATTTGAATAACAGAAGAACTGTGAAATCAATTCTGCTCATCAAACGCTTTTGGGGCTAGTTGAAATGATGTCTAGGCTAGTAAATGCTAGCTTCAGCTTGCAAGCTGTAAAAATGATTTTCTTTGCACCCTGTTTAGGCAAGGTTCATCTCGAGGTCATGCAGGCCAGCAGTCTCCTTCACTAACTAGCTAACTACAGTGTATATGTTACGGGTCAAATTTACATTCAGGTTGAAATTTTTTAACCTAGATTGATTCTCAGTTTTCTTGTCTCTTCATGAATAATTAGGGCTAGAAGACTACGAAAATAGAAAATCAACCTACCATCATGGACAAAAGTCTTGGGACAGTTGTACAGTTCAAACACTTTTTAACATACGCAAAATTGTATCCGCGTGCTCCTAACACTGTACGTCCCTAGCCCCTCCTCTCCCTACCCCATGGACAGTGTTGAAACCGTCAAGGTACAATTCCTTTGATCTTTCAACATTGTATTGGGTAGGGAGTGGGGAGGGGACATGGATTTGTAAAAAGACAGCACTGCTTTTTGCAACATAACTTACAAGTGAAACACATAGAATTGAAGTTATGTTTTGACTGTCCCAAGGACTTTTGTCCATGATAACATTGTAGGTTAAAAAATTTCAACCTTAATTTAATTTTGACCTGTAGCATAATAATGTAATGAATATCTGTTTTTTTTCCCTGGCAATAAATAACTAATACTGAAACTAAAAGTTGTTTAAAAACACACCTTGGACTTTCCAAACTCTAGGATGTACTGCAGGGATAAGTTATCACCACCCACGACCCATCCTCCTGGAAACAAATAGTTTGCAGTACACGCAACTGGTTCTTGCACACCTCTGTGGCGTGACCATTCTTTTGCACTGTCACAGAGCTCTTCAACACTCTGGTCTTTGGATGCCATTATAGATACCATGCAGCTAGGGTGCCGATCCGAAGCTTCTTGCATGGCTTGTGCACGCAGCTGTACTAGTCTCAGACCTAAAAACAGAGAGGATTACTTTACAAATAATTGTTGCTTATGTATTATGGTAATCATGAACAGGCTTGTACTTCACCACAGCCCAGTAGATTGGTTAGACAAATAATAATAGGGAGCTTAATTTATCAATGAAAACAGTGATGGCAATGTGAAAACAATAAAAATTGAAGCATGCTTTTTGGTACACTTCTTTGCTGCTCTAACATGATACGAAATTTTCTGTGACATTTGGTGGAGCACGTAAACACTCAACAACAAATTTTTCTTTCTCATTTGAGCTTGGGTGCAGTTCTCAGTAATCAACCAAGAAAATCAAAATTCATTAGCCCATGAACACAGCCATCTCTCATTGCTCCTCGCCGGTAGGTTTGTTTCGCCAGGAGAGGCATCTGCGCCTTAGTGACAGCAATAATATTATTTTATTCTGATGACTTAAATCAATATTTACATTTTATGCCATAGTCATGGGGTTCCAAATGTAAATTAATTTGTTCGATTTTAGGTTTCTCCTGATCATTTTTAGTAAAGTTTTGTGTTCTTGTGCAGGCAAGCTCCAACAAAACTCAAAATAATGCTTCTTGTAAAGAGGAATATATTCCATGAATATTGACTGTTAGTAGATTCATCTCGTTTACATTTGACCTTTGTGGCCTTTTGTCTTTTGTCTGTCATTTGTAAACAATAGCTAAAACAATGTAACTACTATGTCGACCAATCAGAGCTCCTCATCAGATTCTGCACAGATTTTACATCATCAGTATCATGGAATTTCTGTCGAAAGTGGTAGAGAGCTGAGGAGAGATGTCTGTTTTTGCGGGCTAACAATTCCCATACATTGGACACTTTAAGCAAGTAGGCATAAATAAGACAGTTTGATGGTGAAAGGTACTAGATAAAAGTGCTTTGAACAAGGATATTTTAGAACCTGGATATGTGATGGCCAAAGAGAGGTAATTGGTAATGGGACGTTTGCTTGTATATCCAAGCACAGTAAGCAGCTGAGTATTGAAAAACCCTACCATCTTTAAAAGAAAGTGCTCCGGAAAATATTAAGGCTGTCAACTCTCCAACACTAAACCCAGCAGTAATTGTTGTGCATGCATCGAGTTTATTTGACCAATCAGGAAATACCTAGAACAAGGTTTAAAAGGTTCCATGTCAAGAGACCCATAGGAATAAGTAACGGCCAAAAATTTATAAGTAGCATTTTAAGACTTTCAGTGTATGTTTATATACTAATTGGAGGATTTACCATTTTCCTTAGATTTCACTCTACTTTTCAGTCACTTTTAATCAGTTCGATCTTGGATAACTCAAATTCCTTACTAACTCGACCTAAATTACCTTTCCCTTGATCAAAATTTCATTAAAATTTACCCCAATCACTTGACTGCCATTTCATTAGCTCTTCTTGTTGTATAATCAATTAAAACACCAAAACTAACACTACAGTAATTTGGTTTGATCGGTGCAACAAACAGGTCATGTTTTATCATTAAAAGCATAATTATGTTACCATTTCTGATGACTGAAATTTGTTAAATTTACACTGTACTATACTCTGAAGTGCTGAAAAATCAGTAAACTATTGATATTATTAAGATGGCAAATTTGACATTCAATTGCAATGGACCCTGATAACTCGAACCCCCGCTAACTCGAAGTGTTTTTAGGTTCCCTTCAGAGTTGCAGTTAACAGGCTTCTACTGTATTCTTTAGCTTTTGATTTTAAAGTGTGGCTTTGGATCTGACGAATTACTGGGACTTTCAAGAAATCATCCCCAAGAGACCAATAATCTTGACCCAAATGGAACGCGAAGGCAGCTAATAAAAATTAACGTGTATTATTATACATTGTTATATGTCATTACATGTCTTCTCGTTGTGTGAGAGCCTACAGCTAATTTTGGAAATCAATGCAACCTACAGATTGGTTAGTTACCTGCTAGCAGATAACTAACGAATCCGTGGGTTGCGCACACAATGCATGATTTCCAATGACAATCATATCAATTCAGGTACCTTGCGATGGTGTGTTTGTTGTTATTTTCTTACATTGTATAATAAAACAACTATTAGATTTGGTTTTTGTGATATCATAAATAATCAAGGTCTCGGTAAGTGTTATCAGCCTCAGCCTCAGCCTCGTCTGAATTTTAAAACGTCTCGTGTCAGTGTTTATAAATGTTTCACGTCACTGTTGAAAATTGAATGAAAATTCTTTGTCTTTGTTGCAATTTTAGAAAAGGGGGGAGCGATGCATTGTAAAGAAACTATTACAGTTCTGCAATTTCTCAGTTAACATTTCACGGATCAAACACCTTACTTCTTCTTGGCATTCAGACTTGTGATAAATTAGCAAACCATGGTTCTTTATCACTAACTTATTCTCAGCTGTACTGTCACTGTCGTAATTTGGCTGAGGCAGGACATCTCTTGTCACGATTTCATTACCCTTTCTCAGTACTTTTTAGGTCATGTTGCTTGTCGGAATTTACCCTGGCAGGGCCTATGTGGTAGGTCCCCAGTTGTGTAGCAGGATTTGAGTGTATGCCATGATTAGCCTGCCGCATAAGCCATTGTTCAAATGACCAATACAGCTGAAGGAAAATTTGCAATTGCACATCCGATAATTAATTTTGTCAAGTCTACTGGGGGTACAGGACAAGGATCTTGGCACTGCTTAGCAGACGTTACAAGCCAGGGTTGGATTATGTCTGCGACACAGGCTAAGATCTACTTTATCTACAAGGTTTGGAACGATGTTTTGTGAGAAATTTTACCTGTGATTGCTTTGCCCTGTGAAACCGAAGTGCAGCAAGTGAAGAGACAACCACTGCTGGCTGACATGTCTCTGTTTTGTTCAACACTTCAGCGGGTCCATTCAAGCATATGTTCAGTAAATCATACCCCAATATCTTGTGAGCGTCGTCAAATAGTTGTATCACCGTTGGCTCTTTGAGAAAAGATTTACACATTCCGACATACTGAGCTCCTTGCCCAGGAAAGAAAAAACACGTGCTTGAGCGTCTTAATTGCCCATGACACCTCTTGAAAAAAGGACGTAGGGGAAAGAACAGCTGACCAACCATATTCTACTCAAACACGTACATAAACTTGCTAATGTGTTTATAAATACACGCTCACATTACATCTAATTGTAGACGCATGGAAAGATGAAAGGCTCCATTTTTTCTAACTACGGAACAGAGTGCGGTCAGCGGCTGTCTTTGTCATCTCGTGCGCGGTCATCTTTGGAGTTCAAGATGGCGGAGGATGTTAACATTCAAGGGTCTGCCTATGACGAGGATTTGTGCGAAAACCCTTTTTTCAAATACATGCAAACTAAACAAAAACAGCTCTATGACAAAGCGGCTAGTAATAGATGGACGGTAAGTTTGATGTAACGGTATGTCTCCGCGTGAATTTTGGCCCAGGACTGCCAACTTATTAAATTTGTAGATTCCTTACACGGTATTAGATCATTTCCTCTGGCTAATTTATGCGTATGTCTCAGCATTTCTCCTTATCTAAATTCTTAAGTGTATGTTTTTCTATTTTTTTTTTCCTGTCTGAGCTCCATTTAATTGATTATAGCCAGAATGATCGCTATACAGCTTAAGTAACCAACAGCTAGCAACAACCTATTAGTCTGGGCATATTCTACAGATCTAGATCTGCTCAGCGCTCTAGCAATGCGGGCTGATTTAGCTATCACTAATTAACTATGAATTCTATGTTACACCTGCTCACAGGGGGTTTTGTTTCATAGGAAGGTGGTGATGTCATAATTCTACCTCAGACAGAGCAAAGAGTGGCAGGGGGAGGGGCTACTCCTAATTATATGGGTCATCCCCGGTGTAATATAATTGATTCGTTTTCTTTGTTTTATGGACTTTTGTCAGGGTTAGGTTCATTGTTAAGGATTTTTTGTTTTCTTTGTTTTACGTAAGCTGTGAGTATTAACTTACTATATCCTATTATATGGATTACATTGTCAGGGGTATAAAATGTGAATTCGAGAATTTGCAAGACTGTGAGACCCTGTTTTCAAAATTCAGTACTGAGACTTAAGTGTTTTTATCAATTTTGAGCCTGAGCCCTTACTTTTAAAAAAATCTGAGCCCGAGACCCTAAGCACCAGCAGGGCTGTCATTAAGAGCCGGGGGCCCGGGATTTCCCCCAGCTACTATGAGTGTGGCCCCAGGCTACTTTTGTTGGAAAATAGGAGATAAATAGAACCAAAAGAAACCCCTAGGTATTTGATTCCCCACCCACTTGTTGTATTTACCCGGCATCTCGAAATCTTAGCGACAACCGTGCACCAGAAATTCCAAGATAATAGTGAGTTTTAGATTCAATGATTAGGACGACTCAAGTACAAGATTTGACTTAAAGTTTTTGCATGAATTCCCAAAAATAGAAACCCCAGGAAGCTTCATTGTACTCTTTATTGAAGGAAGTTAAGCCCTCTCCCATTGGCAAATTGATAAAATTTTATAACTTGTTTTTGCCTATATGACATTCTTGTCAAAACTCGTTGTAGAATGACAACCACTATCCACGTCTTAGCATCTAAAGCTCTCGAATGGTACAAAAAAACTAAATAAAATGACCAAAAAATGCCTATAGAAGCTAGCGGAAGCCCACCAATATACTGCATTGTCTTGTTTTACTATTTAAATCTTCTACATTCAGTTTGATAAGCTGTACCTGAACTCTGAATAATTCGACTCGTAAAGACTAAACGGAAAGAAAAAACTACAAATCCTAGACTCCAAGACCTGTCGGCAAAGAAAATTTGAGACTCTGAGATGCAAGAATTACCCTGAAAACAAGACTTGGACGCCCCATCAAAAATGCTTCTGAGATTTCAACATCTGGCCAAAATTTTCTGAGACCTATTTTTTTCGAGGTACCATTCTATACTCCTTCTTTGAGAGGATGTGCCTCTCTGACTCTGGAACCTCATATCACTATCACTTTTGTCTTTGTAACAGAACTACTGGTATTATTAATTTTACACTTAAAAGTTAATTTTCCATATTTCTGTACTCCATGGAGCAGAGATGCTTTTCGGAAATTAGAATTACAATGTAAACCCCTAAAGGAGACCAATATGGACATGTCTTAGGCTTTATTGGATCTGGGGTTGTACACTAGCAGTGCCTGGTGACTCCTTTCAACTAACTTTTTGTTTTGCTATAAAGTAATAATATTGATCTGTCTTGAATGTGGTCACACATAAACATTTACCTTTGAAACAGCTCCAGAAACTCTGAGACTCTGCCTAATCCCATAATTTAAGGGAGTACCCATTGGGATTTTAGCTGATATAATAATTATAGATATGTCAAGTTAGGGACCGCACATCTGCTAATGACTTAAGATATTATTTTCCTATAACTCAGGAGTACAATGGAGTTTTGGAGGTGGTTCTAACTGTTGAGTTTGTGGACAAAATCCTGTGATGCAACAGTTCAAATGAAATTTCTTCAAGAGAATTAGCATTTCACTGGCAGCTGCCAGCAGCTGTCATATCTTTCACTTAACAATAATGAAAGATTCTAGACTGTGGGTTGAAAAATTATTGATCAGGAAAATCCAGCACTTGATGTGGTGAAACGTGCCAGAATGTGATAATCAGTACATTTCTTGATGAGCTGGTCAATTGAAAAATTCCAGATTCTGGTGATAGCATCAAATAACTGCTTGTTTAGTCAAATCTTTGCATATTACAGGAGTGTCCTAAAGCGAATATCTTCTCTGACCTTCTTTCCTCACTTTTTTACCTTGTTCCCGCATGATTTGATTGACTGTTTGCTCCTGTCTTGCTCAACTGTTTAGGTATGCATTCCACGGCAAGGTACACAAGCAAGAGGAAGCTTTACTCTGAGTCATGTGGAGAATCATCTGCTGCTACCAGTAGAAGGCAAATCATCAGCCTACAAAACTGTAAATAACAAGGTAAGGACATGTTTCTGGTTACTCCATACAATGTACAGTACTGCTCAAAAGTAAGTTACCAGTCGTGTCTCATTTCGAGACAACGCAAATCATGTCTCATGCTTTACGATTGTTGTTGCCAGGCAAGGATCGTGTAGCTTCATCGAATGGGAAATTTTTGGCATAAATTACAGTTGATTGATCTCGTGCAAATACAGGTGTATATTCTATTTCACATCGTGGTTTTGTTGGATTAAAAGATGTTTAGGAATTCATTGCTCTTTCAGTTCAGAGCAAAACAGCTTCATTCGTAATTTGTTAAGCATTATATATTAAGTTGTTCTTTAAAAGTCCAGTTAATTTGATATTGCAAGTTTGACAATGATAAATTAAACTGTGACTTGAGTATGTGGATTCGCTTCAATTGCATTTTATGGCTTCACTTGCATTTTTAGTAATCATGGCGGTATTCACAGGCACGTCACCATTTTGTCAAGCAGACATGGGATTTACGTGTAATTGTTCACCCATAACATTTTGATGCTTGTACACAACTGTTTCTTTATTTTATGAGCTCATCGGTGACAGGTGATATAGGTTACAGGGGCCGTTAATGACATCCAGAGCCCTGTTACACGCACATTCACGGTGGTACAAAATTTCCATTTTCTAGAACAAGGGACATTCATTTGAAGGGAAAATTTGAATTTTGATGTGAAATTTTCTGTATGTATCAAACAAAACAACATAATGTACATTTTGTAATGTTTTCTATTACAAACATCTGTTTGTGATAAATAATATTATATTATTTGTTATTTTTGTGCAAGTACAAAGTGATGGTAAATAAATTTAGCATCTAAGATTGTTCAAACATTGTAGTTATTTTACAACTGACATGAGAAACAACAATTTAAGGACTTACACGGTTGAAAGCAATTTTATTGAGGTCACTGTAATCAGATAATAATGACATGTATATTCAGCTTACATTCAAGTAAGTGTGAGTTGTGTTTTGTTGTGTAGGAAGTACAAGTCAGTGGAGACTTCATTGTAACAACTGAAGGTTTTCAGGATGTGAAATCAGTAAGAAGCATACTGTATTACTTTTTTAAGGGTTGTATATTTAGGTTGGGTAAAAGTGACCTCATCTTACAGCTGTACCAAAGATGCCAAAAATAATATTATTAGTTTTCTTTTTTTAAAGGACAGACAGATATGTATGTGTATGTCTGACGTACATGTACATGTATATGTCTAGCAAAGTCACAATTTTGTTTTGCAGCTCCTATTTTTGTATCGTTTTTGTATTGTTTTTAGGGTTTTTAAACATATAGTTTTAGATGAATTTATTGTATTTTAGGTTTTTAAAATGTAATTTCATATTTTAGTAGCTTTTAAGATGCGGGACTCCTGAGCAGATGGGCCTTCAAGCTCAATAGGCATCCCTACCTGCTAAAATAAAGTTTTACTTTAAGTGACTGTTTGCTACAATTTAAGTAAATACACACCACCAAGTTTGCATGAAAGTTCAGACATAAAACTTTCAATAGCCACTATTATAATATATTTATTTATTATTCAACATATAGGTGCGAATTCTATTTGAAGAGACATTTTTTAATAGCAACAATCAAAGCTTTTCTGTCCTGTGTATTGAGCAGCCACTAGAAGGAGGAATAGGTAAGAGTGACTTTAGCGCTGTTAACCCTTTAAGTCCCAATAGTGACTAACGTCAATTTTCTCCTAACGATATCTATACAATGTCAAGAGATTAGGTTGTGAGAATTAATAAAATGATCGCCTAAGGCAAAATGCCTTGATCTTTCATCAAATTCTCTCAACTCACTCATGAAGGAAATGTATGGAGATCAGTTTGGAGAATTTGTATGTGGATGTTGGGGTTTAAAGGGTTAATTTGCATGCTATATTGTCATGCTAGTGAATTAAGTACAGGTATAGTGGAATGTTAATGATTGTTTGGGAAAGTGTGGTACTGAATATGACAGTTGTTGACGATGACTGACATTTTGAAATATCAGACAGTTATTGTCAACAACAGTCCTATTCAGGACTACTGTACTTACACTCACCCAGACAATCATTAGTGATAATAATATTATAATTCCACGTAAGATTTATGACA